TTTACAATTATGGGAAAAGAAAGAATGGGTAGATACTAGCAAGTTATAAACAAAGTTAACAGTTATATTTTAACAAGCCTTGGGGAGGGGGGGATTTGCAACTCAGTAAATATCTGTTCCCCACTTATCTCAGTTTATCTCTTTCAGTCACTTTTCTCAGGGCCATGGGATAATCAAGCACCCTGGGGGTCTAATGACTGAGCAGTGGAAAAGTAACAAAATGTCCTCTGCAGGGAAAATGGAGTTGGTTTGGTTAACAGGCCTAGCCCTATCCTGTCTCAGTTAGAGAGAGCATGGTGCTAATAATACCAATGTCTGGGGTTTGAACCCTATTCAGGCCAGCAAAAGAAAAAAAAAAGAAAAAAGAAAATAGCTAGGTTTGTTTACATTCCACCATATTTTAAATAAAAATCAAGTTGCAGACAAAAGGCATCATCATAATAATAGCTAACACATTACATTGACTAGGTGTCAAACGCTGTTCTAAGGGATTCTCATATTTTCTCTCATTTAATTCTCACATAATCTTATGGGGTAAGTATTTCTACTATCCCATTTTAAAGATGAAGAAGTCCAGGCATAGAGAGGTTGAGTAACCTGCCCAAGGTTACCCAGTTAGGAAATAATTAGCGCCTGGAATGGAACCCAGGCAGTCTGACTCTGGAGTACCAGCATATAATCATATGGTATACTGTCTCTAAACATAATTCTGTTTGAATGTGTGGATACACGTATATGTTTGAATAGGTGTGTATGGTGTGTGCAGGCACATATCTGTAGTTGTAGATATATACACTTAGGTGGGAAATGAAAATACTCACCAAATTATTAAGAATGGTTATAACCCCAGGGGTTGAGTAGGATGACAGAAGAGGGGGAAGGGATTTTTCTACTTCTTTATGAAGTGTGTGTGTGTGTGTGTACACAACAGGTTAAGAGTCTCCCTGAGACTCATTTTAAAAATCGTATCATTTTGGGACCGGCCCGGTGGCGCACTGGATAGTGCGCCGCTTGGGAAGCGCGGCGGCGCTCCCGTCCGAGGGTTCGGATCCCAAAGCAAGGAGTGCTTTATTAAAAGAGGAGATAGACTTATGCATAAGGGGGGTAGTTACAGGAAAGCTAGCCCCCTGAGGGGGCTGTTCAGGGTCTTTCATAGAGAAAGGAGTTAAGGGGTGCAGGCCAGCATCACTGGAAGTGGTCCATTCTGTTCTTCCTGGTTGCATCATGGGCACATGCTCACTTAAGGCTTTTGTCCTTGCCCCCCAACACCTGCAACCAGTCCTGAGGGTGGAGGCCCAAGGGCCTTGGCCAAGTGCCCCCCAAAATGCACAACCAGCCTGACGACGACCACCGAGCCGCAGCAAGAAGGGCTCCGGTTTCCCATACTGGGGTGGTGGGGGGTGAGGGCTTTTGGGACACGGAAAAAAAGACAAAAGACAAAAAAAAAAAAAAAATCGTATCATTTAGCTACAGGTCTACAGAACTGTAAGGCCTGAATTTACCATTCGCACAAATGCCTTCAGCAGCGGATTCACCACTTCCACAGGTTGCTGAGGTCACTTAAAAATTTCTACAATAGGACCTACTTTCCACATCCCTCAACCCTCCACCTTCGTGTGCGTGTGTGTGCGCATGCTTGCACCCAAACGGGTGGTCCTGTTTAATTTCCTTTTTTTCTCTCTCTCTTTCTGCCTGTGGATTTGTAGGGCAACTTCTACCTACCAACGTACACTCATTTAATTGAAAACTTTTATTTAGTTGCCTTCTTTCTGCCTTTCCTTCTCCAGGCTAAATTTTCCAAAATCAAGTGGTTTTCGCTCAGCGCCCTCAAGAGGGATGAAACAACAGACTCCTTGTTCCCACCAGGAGGAGGAGGGCGCCACGTGAAAACAAAGAATCTCAGCCTTGGGAGCTCCAAATCCTGACGTGCAGTGCCAGAGTAGGTGGGAACAGCGTTTGCAGAAACTTTGCAGATCCTGCAGGCCTGGAATTCCGGCAGTTCCCAGGCAGAAAGGGCTCGGTGTCTCGCTGGAAAGCTCCTTGTCTCCCAAAGGATGTCCAGCCGACCTTGCCTGGCTGCTCTGGCATCCCCACCGGCCCGCCCTTCCGCAGGCTTGGTTTACTCCTTGCAGCCTCAGCTTTTCTCGAGTGCCCTATACGCTGGTAGTCTTCTCGACCTGGAAAGCTCACTGACTAGCTCCAGTCCTACCCAACTTACTGCTGGTCTTGGCACCACCCCCCTCTCTACTCTGCTTAAGACACAGAGTAGACTGATAAGTTGAATGAATGAATAAATGAAGACATCTTAAAACAGTCATTGTTATCCCCTGTCAAAGGGCAAAATTACAACAAAATTAGTTGAAGATCTCAATTGGCTTTATTGTGATTCCTGAATTGGACAACACATTATTCCATAAAATAGAATGAAGTATTCCAATGAGCCAGGCAGAGGAAGTTGGTTTTATAGACAAAAAAAAAGATAAAGAAAGTAGAAACAAAGAATAAAAAGAAGATTGGTCATTTCAAAGTTACTTTCCTTGTGAAGTGGGGACTAGAAGACAGAACAATAGAAAAATAACATCAAGTTACTTCAGGCTATCTCCTTAGTGTAAGGATTACTGCAAAGGGAACCTATCGAAAATTTAATCGGGCCTGTCCAGGAAATTGGCTGTTAGATTTCTCCTGACTTCTCTGACGATCAGACTGTTACCGAATTAGGCTCTTGGGTCCCAAATTCATAGAAATGAACAATGTACCCAGCAGTAAAGCAGACAACACCTTATTAAAAGAGGAGACAGAGACATGCATGGGGGGAGGGGGGGCTTAGCTACAGTAAAGCTAGCCCCCTGAAGGGAGCTGTTCAGGGTCTTTCATAGGGAAAGCAGTTAAGGGACACAGGACAGTATCAACGGAAGTGGTCCATTCTGTTCTTCCTGGTTGCATCATGGGCACATGCTCACTTAAGGCTTTTGTCCTTGCCCCCCAACACCTGCAACCAGTCCTGAGGGTGGAGGCCCAAGGGCCTTGGCCAAGTGCCCCCCAAAATGCACAACCAGCCTGACGACGACCACCGAGCCGCAGCAAGAAGGGCTCCGGTTTCCCATACTGGGGTGGTGGGGGGTGAGGGCTTTTGCCACACCTCCCTGACATCTGCACCCAGTCCAGCAATGACCAAGCCACTGGAAGCTCCCCGGTCTTCCCTGTGGGAATGTGGAGGGTGCCGCAGGCCTCAATCTCATCCTTCCTCCTTCTTCCTTCTTCCATCACATTTCCTTCCCTTTCCCCCTCTCCCTCTCCCTCCCAACTGCTCTGCAACAACATCATAGAATGTAAAAAATAATATTAATAAAATGAAAAATAATAACAAAACAAAACAAAAGCGTTTTGTCCTTGCACCCGCTCGGTTGGCCCAAGATGGTGGTGGCATTCATCATTGTCACCCCAGGAGAGTCATTGTAGCAGTCACGGTGAAGTTTTCTGTGCATGCCAGAATTCCTAGAGGGGTCTTAAGGTTAGTCTGTAACAATTTTTTACAATTACAGTAAACAAGCCTTGGGGAGGGGTTTTGCAACTCGGTGAATATCTGTTCCCCTCTTATCTCAGTTTATTTTATCAGGGAGGCCATGAGGTAATCATGGGGGGGGGGTCTTATGACTGAGGAGTGGAAAAGTAACAAAGTGTCCTCTGCAGGGAAAAATAGAGTCAGTTTGGTTTACAGGCCTAGCCTTACTCTGTCTCAAGACTACAGCCTAGGTGACACGGAGCTTAGCAGGACTAACTCCATTTTGATTTTTAGTCTGGTCTTTTGGGAACTCATGCAGGAACAATGTTTAATCCAAAACAATGGCCTCCTATAATTTTTATTTAACAATTGCTATTCTAGAATCAGACAACACTTCATTTCATAAAATAGAATAAGCATTCCAATGAGCCGAGCAAAGGAGGTTGGTTTTATAAACAGAAACAAAGTACAAAAAGTGGTTTGGTCATTTCAAAGTTACTTTCCTTGTAAGGTAGGGAAAGGGAAACAGAACAATAGAAAAATAACTGATTGTTTAACATCAGTTTACTTCAGACTATCCTTTTTGCGTAAGGATTAAAGCAGAGGGAAATTCATTACCACGCTTGCTGAAGGTTTAAACTGGCCTGTTTGGGAAATTGGCTGTTCTCTCTCCTGTTTTCTCAGGTCAGACCACTACTTAGTCTAGTTTGGTAATGTGGAATTTAGCAGCGGTGACTCCATTTTGATTTTGTCTGATCTTTGCGGGCCTAGCGCAGAAAATTACAACTTCCAAAACAATGGCCTCCTATAATTTTTATTTAACACCCCACAAAATTTAGCAGAAAGATGTGGAACTATGAAGTCAGACTCATTGGTTCCAATACCAGTTCTTCCACTTACCAGTTGGGAGAACTTTCTCCATCCCTCTGAGAGTTCAAGAAATGTTTGTTGAAAGAATGAATACGAAGTCCCGCAGAGATGTGTGCATTAAATGAGATAATGTTTGTGTCGTGCCTTGCCCACAATCAGCGCTTGATAGAATTGCTACTCTTCCTCTGGGGCCACCTTCTGTATTTACATAGATTGTGAGTTCCCTGGGGGGAGGGGATGTCTGACTCGGTTCCAGCTCCCCATGACGCCAGGTCCCATTAGGTGACTAGAATGAATACGAAGGACTATAATTTTCTAACATGCTTGGGGCGGGGAAACTGCTGGACGATTACAGATCCCGGATGGATCTGGCCCCTTCGCGGCGACCACAAGTCCCATCACGCTGCAGGAATCTTGACTTATTCACGTACAAATGAAGGGCTCCAAGGCTTGCAGACCGAGTCAGTCGTCTATAGGACCCCACCCCCACCCCGCGCCTCCGATGACCAGTGCGGCTCCGCGCGTCCCCACGCCTCGCGCTTTCCTACCTCAGAACTCCGACCAGTGGGCGCCAAAGAAGACGCATGCGCACTCCTCCCTCCTCGTCTCCTCCCTCCCTTCGTTAGTTCTTCGCGTTTCAACTGCTGGGTTCTTTTTGTCCCCTGCTGCGTGCAGTGTCAGTTTCCTTGCGGAAGTAGTGGCCGTGAGAGAAGAAGATGGCGGCCACCGTAGTGGCGCCGACTGGTGCGGTAACCAGTCGGGCCAACAAACGCAGCGGCGGCGGGCAGGGAGGCGACAGCGGCGGTGGGGGGGCCAGAGGGGCGGAGGAGGAACCGCCACCGCCCCTACAAGCAGTCCTGGTGGCCGATAGCTTCAACCGCCGCTTCTTCCCCATCTCCAAGGACCAGCCTCGGGTGAGCCCCTCGCACGCGAGCAGCCAGAGGGCCCGGAGGGTGGCGGGGCTGGAACGAGTTACCCTTTCGGCAGCCAGTGAAGCATGTTCTGGAAGGACTTGTGTCCACCCAGTTGTCTTAAAATCGGGTTTATCTGGTAAGGAGGAAGGTGGAGGGATTGTCTAAAGCCCTGATGACAGCCTGACCGAGCGAGTGGCTGGCAGATTTGGCCACTTTATGCAGTTCACCTCAGGTTTGGGAGGAACGAAGAGGGGAAAATGTGGAAACAGTGCTTGAGAGAAGCCTTCACATGGGGATTCAGTGCCCCAAGAAGAGGCTGCACTGCCTTTAACCCTGCGGAGGAGCGATGCTTAGATGAAAAGGAACATCACTTCCTTTTGACTTTGAAAGGGCGATAATATGGCTAATAAAGAACGGGCTAGATCTCTGGCCGTGTACTTTTTTTTCCTTCTAGGTTTTAATAACAGCCAGGGCCATCTGTTGAAAGAAGGATAGGGTTTGGTGGCTGGTTGCCATCAGCCCCTGAATGTGTAGAGAACGGGAAATTGAACTTGAGCTAGTCCTGGGGGTTGCTGGATTACTTAGCAGTCTCCAGTCCAGTCAAAGAGAAAGAACTGCATTGAGTTTAGGGAAAATCCTCTGCATTGAGTTTAGGGAAAATCCTCTCTAAGTCCTCCCAAAAAGTCTACTGGCTGTTTGTTTTTGACAAGTGATAGGGTGGAGTAAGAAGGCATAGCTAGCCCCTGACTCTTAGAAAGGGATCAAGGAAGAAATTTTTATGAGGAAGAAGACCTTAGCAATGCTTAAGTTTCCATAGACATCATTGATTTCCAGTATTATCCTTTGCCAGGGTTGGTCTGCTATTCTATTGCAGCTCTGTGTCTGACTGGGCACGTAGATTCCATGCTTATTATGCCCAAATTGCAACACCTTAGACTCTGAGACTTAGGGTGTGCCATGTACATCAAAGGCAAGAACCTGTTTACTTGTGAGTTGGAGAGATAAAGTAAAGCTATAAAGTTTGGAAACACTGATAGAGGAGTGTAAATTGTTGTTGCAATGGGGTACCCAAAGGGCCTTCATGGATTCAAGACCTCAGATTTGTTTCATATTCTATCCTCCAGGTCCTCTTGCCCCTGGCCAATGTGGCATTAATTGACTACACTCTGGAATTCCTGACTGCCACAGGTGTACAGGAAACCTTTGTCTTTTGTTGCTGGAAGGCTGCTCAAGTCAAAGAACATTTACTGTAAGGCCCAGCACCTTTTTTCCCCTTGGTTCACCATGCTTTTCAGTTTTTTCAGGATGAATATAACTAAGAAGGGGGAAAGGTTAGGTGGAAAAAATGTCTGTTTAGATCCCATAGTAAGGTCTAAGGGTGTTTTCTTCACTTATCAGGAGGTGAGCAGTTGAAATCTTGAATCTGTCCATCTTGGGGTTCCTGTGACAAAGATTAAAGAAGAACACTTGAATTTTTTCTGAATCTTACTTATAAAGTGTTATTCCAGTGGGCTTTGCTTTTCATTTAATGGTTCCAATACGGAAGTTACAAGAATAACATCTTTGTTTTTCCACTGAGTTTCTAAATATTGTTCGTTCTGACCCTCAAGGACAAGTATTCTTCTTCATCTTTGTATTCCTACTGCCTAGCTTAGTGTCAAGCACATAGTAATCATTTAACAAACGTTTATTGAAATCCTCTTGAAAAGAAGTGAATATCATGATTTACGGAAATTTAAGAAATAAGGACTAGAATATTAGCATGATCTTCATCAGACAGTTCCTAAATTTAGTTTGAACTTTAGAAGAGGAAAGGTGACTTGAAAAGTGTGTTCCGAGGGTACTTTGTATACTCTAGATTTCAGCAGGATTTTGAGTTCAAATCCATGTTTGGGGACAGGGATCAAGGTATAGAGAAGAAAATAACCATGTTTCTCTAACCCATAAAACAAGACTAGTGACATTGGATGCAGAAAGCATTAGCTATAGTTCTTAAATCTCTTTGAAGTTGGGGATGCTGACAGGAACCCAAAAAAGCAGTAGAGAAGGAGTATGAATGCTGAATGGGGAGGAAAAATAGGGAAGGCCCACATGATCTTTATACTTGATTTACTCATTAACCTCAGCCTGCCCCCCTTCTTTAGGAAATCCAAGTGGTGCCGCCCTACATCCCTCAATGTGGTTCGAATAATTACATCAGAGCTATATCGATCACTGGGAGATGTCCTCCGTGATGTCGATGCCAAGGCCTTGGTGCGCTCTGACTTTCTTTTGGTGTATGGGGATGTCATCTCAAACATCAATATTACCAGAGCCCTTGAGGAACACAGGTCAGGATGGGAAGATGGCAGGGACAAGGGTTAGGGGCCAGCAGAGCCCTTAAGACTGCTTTTTTACAGCTCCTTCCCTCCAATCCTTTCTTTATAGGTTGAGGCGGAAGCTAGAGAAAAATGTATCTGTGATGACAATGATCTTCAAGGAGTCGTCCCCCAGCCACCCGACTCGCTGCCATGAGGACAATGTGGTAGTGGCTGTGGATAGTGCCACAAACCGGGTTCTCCATTTCCAGAAAACTCAGGGCCTCCGGCGTTTTTCATTTCCTCTGGTGTGTGGGTATCTGGGGTCTTTAAGGTGGGGAAGTGACAGGCTTCAGCAAGAGAGACAAGTTAGAGTCCTTATAACTTATCCCCACAGAGCCTGTTCAAGGGCAGTGGAGATGGAGTGGAGATTCGATATGATCTACTGGATTGTCATATCAGCATCTGCTCTCCTCAGGTGAGCTGTTCAGGGCCAGGGATGCACCTCAAAGAGTAGAACTCTGAGGGTCTATTATTGTCCTTTTAGTTTTAATTTTTTTTCTAAAAGATGACCGATAAGGGGATCTTAACCCCGGTCTTGGTGGTGTCAGCACCACACTCTCCCAAGTGAGCCACAGGCCAGCCCCTGTCTTATTGCCCTTTTAGAAGGCCAGGATATATTTCTTCTCCCTGTTTTTCTTATTCATTCTAAAGCAAAGAAGTCATCTTGTCCCCAGTATCCCTGAGAGCCTCTTTGGGATTCTGGTCCATGTCCAGCTGCCATAGGGTTTAATAGTCTCTGGGGGCTTATTCTTGCTTCTAGAGAATAGCACCTAAATTTAGCCCACCCACTTCCCCCCACAGGTGGCTCAACTCTTTACCGACAACTTTGACTACCAAACTCGAGATGATTTTGTGCGAGGCCTGTTAGTGAATGAGGAGGTGAGAAAAGGCTTCCAGTGCCTCTTTAGGAGAGTAGAAGAGGGCTGTGATTTTACCTCATGCTGGTGACTTTTGGTCCCCTTTTGTGTTTTATTGGTCCTAGGACAGAGGAAGAGGGCTGGGGGAAGGGAGGAGGACCATGGGAACAGTACACAAAGAAAAGTCTCAGACCATTTGGTTGTAACAGTGAGAGGCAGAGCGGAACTTCAGAGGATTAGAAAGGTGTTGTACTTGGGAGTGTTCTTCCTGTCTGGCTTGCTTGGGTGACCTTCCTTCCCTTTTCCTCATTCAGATCCTAGGGAACCAGATTCACATGCACTTAACAACTAGGGAATATGGTGCCCGGGTCTCCAACCTACACATGTACTCGGCTGTCTGTGCTGATGTCATCCGCCGGTGGGTCTACCCTCTCACCCCAGAGGCAAACTTCACTGACAATACTACCCGGAGCTGCACTCATTCCAGGCACAACATCTACCGAGGGCCTGAGGTCAGCCTGGGCCATGGCAGCATCCTGGAGGAAAATGTGCTACTGGGCTCTGGCACTGTCATTGGCAGCAATTGCTCCATCACCAACAGTGTCATTGGCCCTGGCTGCCACATTGGTGAGCACAGATGGGGAATCAAGCTGGCCATCTTAGGTGGAGGATCTAGGGGGCCCCGTGTCTCCAGAAACAAAGATGGATACACAAGGGATAGTCCTTGGGAGTAAGAAACTAGAGTGGCTACCTTAAGAAAGGAAGGAACAAGGATTTGAAAACAGTGGCACCTTAATTTGTGGCCTGTGAGCCTCTTACTGGATGACTCTTCAAATTCCAAGGTACCTAATATTCACATTCAGGACAAAGCAGATAATTAACATGCAATAATAACGTCTGTTTAATGCACTGCAGTTTACAGAGGGCTTTTACATACATTATTTCATTTAATCCTCACAAAAACTTTGTCCCAAATTTACAGATAAACAAGCAGGCTCAAAGGGGTTGTCTTGCCTAAGATCAAAGCTAATAAGAGGCAGTGCTGGGACTTGAATCTGGGTTTTCTGGTTGTAAGTCCAGTGTTCTTTTTACTCTACCTTAACTGCCTGGTTAGCCTCTGGGTAACTCACTTTGGTTGTAGAAATGTGAGGCTTCAATGGTACTGTCCCTTTAAAATAACAACAATATGATTCAAATTCTAAAATGTACAAGAAGAGGTAGAATAATTTGGTTTTACTTATAGACATGGATATGATTCTAATAAGGTTCTTGAGTTCAGGGGGTCTCCAGAAATCTCGAAGTTTCTCAGGTTCTTAAGCCCTGTATCTAGTCTATAATTGTTGTAAACCTGGCAGCGGATGGTCAGGCTGAACGATGTTCTATTCTCAGGCCTGGGATTCGAGGGTGAGTGGGTGTTTCTGGTGAATTGGGGGATGAGTTATTAGAGCTAGGTGGAAGCTGTGCTGTTGTCAGTCAGCCCTGGTCTGAAGGGCTCTGGTCTGGAGTTGGAGCCCTGAGTGACTCCTGTTCTTCCCGTCCTGAGCCAGGTGATAACGTGGTGCTGGACCAGGCCTACCTGTGGCAGGGTGTTCGAGTGGCTGCTGGAGCACAGATCCATCAGTCTCTGCTCTGTAACAATGCTGAGGTCAAGGAACAAGTGATACTGAAGCCACGCTGTGTCCTCACTTCCCAGGTGAGACCTGCTCCATACTGTGCACAGGCCCTGAATTGAGTGGTAGTCATACTGAGCCAGAAGGGGCCTTATTTCCACCCATAATCCAGCCTGAATTGAGAGTCCAAATCCAGTGGTTTCATTTACCTTCTACTTGGCTTAGTAAAAATAAAAGTCACTCTCATTGTCAGATTGTACTTTTCCTCAACACGCTGATGGGTATGTGCCACCCACTCCTTTTTTCTCCCCTAGGTGGTAGTGGGCCCAGACATCACACTGCCTGAGGGCTCGGTGATCTCTTTGCACCCTCCAGATGCAGAGGATGATGAGGATGATGGCCAGTTCAGTGATGACTCTGGGGCCAACCAAGAAAAGGGGAAGGTGAAGCTGAAAGGTGTGAGGCTCAACAGGTGTGGGGCATCTGTGTGTCTCTCTGCCCCATGGAAAAACGAGTGTTTCCTCCTGGAGGGATTGGTGCTGCTACTAGTTCTTCTCTAAAGATCAATGTTTTCTAGGTTACAATCCAGCAGAAGTTGGAGTTGCAGGCCAGGGCTACCTCTGGAAGGCTGCAGACTTGAACATGGAGGAGGAGGAGGAACTACGGCAGAATGTGTGGGGTGAGCTAGGCCTTAAGCCTGCCTTCTACTCAATGTGGATATTTTGAAGGATAATGAATACTTCAGAATCAGATTGCTTGTTCATCCTTTATTCATGCAGACTGGACAGATACATTGCTTTCTGTCGATGGCTCTTTTCTTAATTTTCTTTTTTCTTAACCTTTATGGATTCTCAGGACTCACAATCAATGTGGAAGAAGAGAGTGAAAGTGAAAGTGAGCGAAGTATGGATTCAGAGGAACTGGACAGCCGGGCAGGCTCCCCTCAGATGGATGACATCAAAGGTGAGGGGCCAGGGAGCAGTGTCCTGGACAAAGGTGAAAAGCCTCCAGTTTATTCTTTGCCTGGATCAACTAGTTCCTCCCAGAAAGAGTTTGGTATAAAGTCAGGAGTAGATAACTTAAAGCATTCTGGAATGATATTGGCCTACAGACTTCCTCTTGCTTTGATTTTAGTGTTCCAGAATGAAGTCCTGGGAACACTACAGCGGGGCAAAGAGGAGAACATTTCTTGTGACAATCTAGTGCTGGAGATCAACTCTCTCAAGTAAGAGCAGCCCCTCCCTGTTGTCTTTTCTTTGGGGTAATCCCAGGCAGGTAGAAGTTCTCTCCTAAGAGTTTCTTCCTCAAATTGGAATATATGCCCTCAACATCCCAAATGAAGAAGGTCAGTAGTATTTGGAACGAGGAGAGCATTAGGTTCTAGCTTCAGCATAGACTTCGCCTTTCCAAAACCCTTCCCTTCCATGTTTTCCATCTGACTTCCTCTCTTCCAATGTTCTTTTGAAGTCATAGTCCTACAGCATGCTGAAAGGGCCAGTGAAAGCCCTGGTGTCACCCTGGTCTCCCCACAGGTATGCCTACAACATAAGCCTAAAGGAGGTGATGGAGGTACTGAGCCACGTTGTCTTGGAGTTTCCCCTGCAACAAATGGATTCCCCACTTGACCCAAACCGCTACTGTGCCCTGCTGCTTCCTGTGAGCAAAAATTGGGGCTGGGTACAAGAGATTGGGTGGAGGCAGATATACATCCTTGCTGTGCTTGACTTCAAAGGAAATCAGGAGTAGAAGGTTTTGTTATGGAGTGTATGCTATTTCTGGTTCCTTTCTCCTCGCCTCTGGAAGCTCATTGCATTCTGGAGCAGCCTTGGCTGGTCCAAAAGGGGCAAGTTGGACTCAGTACTGACTGGCCTTTGAGACTCCAGGATTCAGACCAAACTAGACCCCCAAAGGCATACTCGGAATAGACCTGGACGTTTAGACTCTATAAAAATGATTTGACCCAGGATAAGATCAACCTCTAGGCTGGGTGTAGGTATTCTGAGGCAGCCTATAGCATCTGACCTCCTTTCACTGTCCCTGGGAAATCTCTTCTTTTTCCCCAACCCGACTCCCAACAACTCCCAAGTCCCTCTGACATGATTTCAGAGGGCCTTTATCATCTCTCTTTTATCCTCCCATGTCGTGAAAGACTCATGTCATCGATATCGATTTTCTTTGCTGTCCAGTATAGGTGCATGCTCAGAAATATATTGTAACTCCTCTCCTCCTTTCTTCAATAGCTGCTCAAGGCCTGGAGCCCTGTTTTTAGGAACTACATAAAGCGTGCAGCCGACCACTTGGAAGCCTTGGCAGCCATTGAGGACTTCTTCCTGGAGCATGAAGCTCTTGGTACTTCCCTGGCCAAGGTGAATACTACCTCAAGCCCCATGCTCCTGCATTTGCTTTGAAGCAGGCCTTGGTGGCCCCTATGTAGACACAAAGCAGAGGCTAACATGAACCCAGTAAGCAGTTTGGTTAACAGCACCACCCGCCCTCGTATTATGCTTGTTGATGAAATAGTACAGCTTGGAGCTAGGCTAGTACAGTAGCCATTTGGGGGTTGGCCTAGGAATGTGCAAAGCTTAGGAATTATAACTTCCAGAAGTTATACCTGCTCCAGTACCAGAGTGAACAGCTCGTTCTTATCTATTTTGGAGGAGACTTCTCAGTGTGTGAAAGGAAGCCGAGGGCCTGGTAGAGAGGTGCTACAGTCATGCTTCCCCTTCCTCTGTTATCCATTATATCTTGCTTCACTCTGCAAGACCGCTGAAATGCCCTTTGCTGGCCTTGTGCAGGTACTGATGGCTTTCTACCAGCTGGAGATCCTGGCTGAGGAAACAATCCTGAGCTGGTTCAGCCAAAGGGATACAACTGACAAGGGCCGGCTGTTGCGCAAGAATCAACCAGTGAGTTGGGCTGCCCTCCTTCACCAAGATGGTTGTGTGGTTCCCTGGTCCTTGACCCTAGACTCCAGGGTGGTTGGTCCCTGGGACTCTGGTTGTTAGAGCTGTTTATCCACTAAAGGGAACAGGTGGGTTATGAGTATGAGCCCTTCCCCCAGTAGCTCTCACCTCTGCTTCCTTACAGCTGCAGAGGTTCATCCAGTGGCTAAAAGAGGCAGAAGAGGAGTCATCTGAAGATGACTGAAGCACTGCCTGCTCCTGTGGGTGTGATTGATTGTCCTTCTAGCTCCTCGGCCCAGGCAAGTGAGGAGCTAGTTGCGGAAGGATGAGTAACCACCATGCAGGCTGAGACTTAGGAACAGAGGCTAGAACTACAGTATTCTATTCTTCCTACCGCCAGCAACCATGTGCCTCCTATCCTGACTGAAGAGTTGGGATGAGGGAAGTTGGACTGGAACAAAGCTTCTGCCTAGGAAAGAGCTAGGCAGACCCTGCAGTTGGAGGAAGGCCAGAGGAACAGCTTTGTGCTCCGGCTTTCCCTCAGGGAACAGCAGAGAGCAGCTGGCCCTCTCTGCTGCTTGTATTTGTTAATATTAAAAAAGAGAGAGAGGTGTATCTGTTTTCTCTCCGTCCCTGAGTGATTAGCCGTTGAAGTATGTGACCAGAGTTCTGAACTGCTGACATGGCAGCCTTTCCCTAACACCTGGGGGAGAGGGGGAGGTGGGGTGTTATGGCCAGTAGGTGGTACTGTGGTGCCTCGCTAATTAACCATTCCATGGCTCATGGGTAGTAAAGGACCTAGATTCTTTTCCAGCCTCTGTGGACCAATTTGTGGTCCTGGGATGGTGTGCCTTGAGAGTCTCTCAAACACTTTTCTGCCAGAGGGTGATATGTATCCCATTACCACTTGCCAGTTCCTCTCACATTCCTTTTCCTTTTGATCCAATACTGGCCGGTCAGGGAAGCTGGGCCACTCTTCCTCTTAGAAATAATGAAATCTGCTCAAGGTCTCATGACTCGAAGGGTAAAGCTAAAGACTTGAACCTCATAATCCAGAGCTCTTTCTCCTTCAGCATATTGTGTCTCAGTGAAGAGGAATTGCCTCCAGAGGCAAATAAAACTGAAAGCCACAGATAGATATTCTAAGAACAGAAGAAGGTCCTGTGAAATGTGCTTTCCCTTAACATTAAGAGAGTGTTTACTGTGTGACAGGAACTTTGCTAAATACTTTTCATGTGTTATTTCATTTAACCCTCACATAGCCCTATGAAGTAGATCTTATCCCCATTTTCAGGTGAGGTGCCTGAAGCTCAGAAAGGTCCCACAACTAGTAATTGATAGAGCCAGGATTTGATATTGGACTCTAGAGCTGAAGTTTGTCACTTTGCTATATTGTCTCTTTTAACCTCAACCATGAGACATGCCCTTCTGTCTGATCTTTTTGAACCATTTGTTGCCTTCATATAGAGTGAGTCTGTAATGTCCTCTATTGGCACTTAAACTGTGGCAGATGTCACTGTGGTAACAAGTAACCCCCCAACCCCTGACCGCCATCATCATAGATGGAATGGTTGCCTTTCTTCATTTGAATTGGGAAGAAAAGACTAAGCCGAGGAGGAGGTTACTGAACTTTACTTGGTGGTGTGAAGGCATTACTGGGTATTCTAAAAAGGAAAAAACAAGCTGGCCAGGGTTTGGCTTAATTTACTTTTCTTATTCAGTAAATCAGTTTCTGTCTTGGGAGGCACAGGATCTAGTGCCTAGAAAGCATAAGAAGGTTATGGCATGAACCTAATAGGGCGGTTAAATAAAAGTAACTATAAGGCAGCTCTGATCTGTATGAAATGGTAGCAGAGATCAGAACTGGCCTACGAAATTTCTAGGAAGGAGCAGTTCCTTCCAGTGGGGATTATTAGAGAAGGCTTTACAGAATTGTAATGCTGGAGTGGCCTAAAAAATAAAAAAGGTTAGAAAGGCACATGAAAAGCAAAGCAAAGGATTTCTTTTTTTTTTTTTTTTTCCTTTTTTACTGACCGGTAACGGGATTGCAACCCTCGGTGTCACGCCCGTACCAGGGACCAGCAACGGGATCGCAACCCTCGGTGTTGAGCCCGCACCGCGCTCAGCCAGTGAGCGGGAACCGGTCTCCACATGGGAACCGAACCCTCGGCGGGAGCGCCACCGCACTCCCAAGCGGCGCACTCTCCAGTGCGCCACCGGGCCGGCCCAAAGCAAAGGGTTTTAATTAAATATGGAAAATTAAGTACATGATTCTTGTTTGCTCCCTCCAAAAATCCATTAAAATGACAGTAAAGGAATTTTTTTTAAAAAGGCACATGACTCAATGATAAGGAAAACAGGAGGTGACAATGAATGAAAGATGCCAACATTTTGGAAAACGAAAAGTAGCAGAGTGAAAGGTGACTTAACAAGGCAGAATGAGTTGGGTTCTACCTGCTGAAGGGGTTATGAACAAGCCATTGTGCCTTTCTGAACCCAGAAAAGGCTCAGCACCTCAGAGGAGGGTGAGGACTGAGGCTGAGAACTGGGAGTGGGGTGGAGGGAGATTACACAAAGATCTGTATAAGAAAAAGAGCCTCCCAGGTCCTTACCTCATCGGATACAGCTGGATGATTATCCCTACTTCTCCCCTGCAAGAAATGGGAGATTCAAGTCTCTGGAGAAATGGTGAGGAGGAAATCATCAAAGAAATTCTTTTTTTTTTTTTTAAAAAAGATGACTGGTAAGGGGATCTTAACCCTTGACTTGGTGTTGTCAGCACCATGCTCTCTGAAGTGAGCTAACCGGCCATCCCTATATAGGGATCCGAACCCGTGGCCTTGGTGTTATCAGCACCACGCTCCCAAGTGAGCCACAGGCCGGCCCTAAAGAAATTCTTAAGAAGGTTTCCTAAATCGAAAAGTCATGAGTTTCCAGACTGACGAGGCCCATCAGTAACCAGCATAATGAATGAAAAAGCCCATGAAGTTTCACAGTGTCAGGAAGAAATCAAACTATCAGAGCCTTGGGACTCGGCAGTAGGGATGGGGGTATTAGGTTGAAAATGAGGAATTAAGTGAAAGTATATGAGTGGTGGGACTCTGAACATCAGCACACACTGTCATGTACCCTCCAGGCAAAAGCAGCAAAAAAAGCCTATGATCAGTTGGTTAGAGCATGGTGTTATAACACCAAGATCGAGGGTTTGTATATTTTGCACAGGCCAGCTGACAAAAAATTAACTCAGCTACATATTGCACTTAGAAAATTAAAATTCAACAAAAAAGGCCTATGAATACAGATATTTTTGGTTTTCTCCACACACAAAAAAGTTAGCTTTCCCCCCACTTGATCATCCTACAGTGAAACCTATTAGTTAATAAGCCTTGCACATAGACTGAGCTTCCAGTCAACTTTTTAGTCTCTCACTGTTAAATGTGAATAGATGGCCAAGCACCATCAAACATTTGAGAAATCTTCCAACATGAAAGGGAGAGACCAGAACAAACAAATAGAAAATTGGAACTGGGCTGGCCAGTTAGTTCAGTTGGTTAAGAGCATGTTGCTGATACAACAAGGTCCGGAGTTCGATCCCTACACTGGCTACCCCCCTAAAATAAAATTGAAACCAAGGAAACAATGGTAAAGTAGGGAACTTTTTTTTTTTTTTTTTTTGTCCTTTTTGAGACCGGCTGCACTGCGCTCAGCCAGTGAGCGCTGTGAGCGCACCGATCATCCCTATATAGGATCCGAACCCGAGGCGGGAGCACTGCTGCGCTCCCAGTCCCAGCGCCATACTCTTCCGAGTGCACCACGGGCTCGGCCCAAGTAGGGAACTTTTTGAAAACTTAAGGGGGAAAAAGCTATAATTACTATTCTGAAAACTCAAAAAGGGAAATACTGTATCTCTGAAGAAAGTGCCATGAAAGAAAGAATTGGAGAACAAGAAAGTTATTAGAAATTAAAAATGAATAAATTGTTTCCTTCCATTGAGAACTGCAGGACAAATAGGAGGGAGACATTTTATTGTATTTCCATTATCTTTATATACTTTTAAATTTTGAATTGTGAATAGTTTACCTGTTTTATATTCAGTAAATATATTGAATAAGTAAATGGTTGAAAGGATTGGAAATAATTTTAAGAAAATCTTGCAAAAAAGGTGAAATTATTAAAAAATAAAAGGGAATGGATGATAAAGGAGAAAAGGATTAGAAAATTAAGGATCAATCCAGAAGGTCTAGCATCTAATGATTTGCAGAAAGAATAGGAAAAAGGTAGTGAAAACATTACTAACTTGAGAAATTATTGTTGAATTTCTAGATAGGAAGGGCCCACCAAGTTCTTAGCACAGTGAGTGAGAAAAGGTCTTCACCTAAGTGTATCACCATGGGGGCTGGCCCGGTGGCGCACTGCTACAGTGCACCGCTTGGGAGCGCGGTGGCGCTCCCGCCGAGGGTTCG